CGTAATGTTTAGACTGTTAAAAACATAAAATTTCTCCTGGCTTTCCCGCACCTAGTCTTATTCTACCAGATGTTTGTTCTCAGTTTCTTAGAATTTCCTGTGGATGTTTTCTGCCTTTGATAACGGTTCTCCCTCCTAGGGTCACTCAGGTCCCAGAAGTTACCGCCATCATAATAATATGGCTGGGTTGATTAAAGAATAAGATATAAAAAGTAACATACTAAATTCATATATTCCTTTTATTTTTACAACCTTTTGACCCCCTTCACCCATTCCTCCCCCTCCCTAACCCCTACCTCTGGCACCCACCAATCTGTTCTCTGAGTCTATGAACTTATTTTGTTTGTTGCTTTTTAAATAACTTAAATATTTTTAAGTGACATCCAAATAGATAGGGACCTGTTTGATCTCCTTTTTAAAAAAATATCCATAAAAAATTCTATCATGCTTTCCCTACTATATTTTCCCAAATTGAGCAAGGTAAATTTTTTGTCCAATGTTTTATATTCATGAATTTTGTATTCATGTATTCTAAGATGTACATTTTTTTCACACTTCACATGTCTTCAATTGGGATATTTCTTACAGTGCTTGGCATGGTAGTGACATTTTTTTCTCTTTATTGAAGATATATAAAAAATTTCATCCCAAATCTATATTGTCTTCGATTTAAAGATGCATGGTAACTCACCAACTTTGCCATTTTTATGATCATCTAGTCACTGGAGAAGCCCTTTTATTGTCACTCAGTTCGAAACCTCAGGGATAGTACCTTACAATAAATTTCCTTAGCTTCATCAGTGGGAGTGAAGTGAGTTTAATGCAGAATGATATAAATGATAGTACTTCCTACATGAAAATCCTTATACTTTGAACAGACACTTTATCAAGTGGCTGAGCAAACACAGCAGCTTTTGAAGTATTTGAAGAGCCATTGAATTTAAGAGTCTTCATGCCTTCACTCTTCTTTAATCTTATTAGTACAGGTCTTCAGAACATGGCTCTTCCTTGGTTAAAATTTAAGGACATAGACTGTGATATAATGCTTAAAAGTTTTTATCTGCTTCAACCTGTTGATAGATTTATCAAATACTTAGGAATCTCTTGAATTTAAAATAAGAAGGAATCATAATATTTTTAAATGACGTTCAAATGGATAGGGACCTACTTGATCTTCTTTTAAAAAAATTTCCATGAAATAATTCTATCATTCTTTTCCTACTGTATTTTCCTAAATTGAGCAATGTAAACATTTGGTCCAATATTTTGTATTCACCAGTAAAATGACCAAATGAACAAGAAAGGGATCTAGAACAAATGGAAGAATTTTGACAGCTATTCAGACTCCATAAGGAATATTAGGAATCCAGTCCTTTAACACAATCTGTTAAATTTAATTAGATTAATCATTTAGATAAATGTCGTTTTATCTGCTTTTCTTATTTTTATTCTCATGTCATGCTCATTCTAGCCTCTTTATTCTTAGAATCTCAACTTTAGAATTAAACAGGAAACTGCATATGAAAACACTGCCTGATTCTTGGCAGAAAACAGCTGTTTACTGTGTAGAGTGATTAGATCTATGTTTGACTATGTGTGTGGACATCCCAACTCTGGCACTAAACTGGCTGTATGCCTTTGGGCACAACTCTTCTTCCCTTCCACTTCTGTTTCCCCAAATTGAGCGTCAGTTTCCTTACCATCTGACTACCATCAGTTGTACATGCAAAATCTCATTGACTTATCTATATGTCTCCATTTACACCATCAGAGTTTAGCCATACTTACTATCCTCATGGCATTGTTAGATTCCTGGCTGGTTTCTCTGATTTAGCCTTTCGCTTGTTGATCCTATTATATTCCCAACCTCCAGGTTAATTTTCTTGATTCTCATTCCCTTTCTCAAAAATTTTCAACATTCTCATATTTAATTACCAAAATAAATCTTAGCAGCCCAACCCATCGGTCAAAACTCCTTATATACAGAATGTCAATCCTGCCTTTCCTCCTTGGCTCTACCTCTCATTGCATATTGCTTTCTGTTTTACTTATCAACATTGATGTGCATGCCTAATCTCCCTTCATAGGCTGTAAGTTGCATGTAAACTAAGACCATCTCTTAGTCACTTTTTAAAATCTTGTGCAGTGCCTCATACATTGTATCTATTTATTAAGTGAATAGAAAGTAAGGATAATTTATTCTACTTTATTCTAATATAAAAAATTAAGATATGTACCTTGACCTTTCTTGGTGAATCAGAATTGTCATCTTGAATATCAGTTTCAAAGATGTACTGAGAACCTGTTGTGAGAAGGCAGTCTGCTAGGTGTCGGGTGATAGCTATGAATAGAACAGGTGACGTGGAGGTGTTGAGCTGTCCTGCTACATTTGTCCTGTCTACTATGGAATTGGAAATCATATGAAGAAGGTAGTTTAAGTGTCAATTGGCTGAGTTATATTTTCAGAGAGATGTTCTTTAATGGAGACGGGATTGTGTAGGGGTTTTGGTACTGTGTGGGTCACATGTTGTGTATGTATGTGTATCTGTGTATGTGTGTGTGCACAGGAGAAAGAGGGAGTGAGGGAACGCCTGAGTGAGAGGACAGAAAAACACACAAAAATCCAGTTGCTCAAATAACCTCTTAAAAAATTTTTGTTCTAAGCATTGTTCCTAAAAGATGGGGTTTCCTGATTCTTGAATAATATATGGTACTAATTTACAATCATAAGCTCTTTCACAATCATTACTTTTAATCTACAACAATCTTAAATTGTTGGAATTTGTGGACTTTAAGGGTTGCGTTTTCTCCAGGAAGTTATTGTGTTTCTTGGGTGATACAGACATGGGGCTGGGTAATTCCAAAAGTGACCACAGCTGAATTTTTTCTTTAAATTATAGATCAGAGAAATGTGTCTAAACTGATATTTTGAGACTTTCTTTGTGGCTTTTGTAAGCTTTTCCTTTATGTCCACAAATTATATATATTGAGTGAGTAGATTCTAACCATTTTCAGTGTGATTATCTTTTTCAATGTCAAAAAAAAATGCATCCTTATGTAATAATTGTTCTTTCTATAATTTTTGAATGAGAAAATACGTAGGCAAAAACTTACTATAAATTCTGTGGCTTTTTAAGTGAATCTGTACTTTATTAATTAAAAAATGCACATTCTTTGAAAAACAGTATCAAATGTGTATAATAACGTAATTTAGTCTTCAGACAATGCCTAATATACATATAGATTCCCAGTCCCTTACAATAACATAATTGTTCATTCAGTGAGACCCTTCGAATAATACGACTACCAGTGATTGTCAACTCACAGCTTGGGGACCATTGCTTTTGATGATATACTTGCTTTCTTTAGTAACTAATTTAATAATTGTAGTTAACCACTAATTTAATAATTGTGCTTAACCACATATTTAATTATTGATACTCTATATCAAAAGTTTTCAAAAGTATTCTAGGATATAATTCTCTAAACTGTACTCTTTCTGTTTTTATTTTTGCTTTTTTGAGTATTTGTATAAGTATTTAATGAACTAGGATGAAGAACAAAATCTAAACTTTTATTTTAATAGTTCCTTTCATTCCACAATGATTTATTTATTTACTGTGTCCCCAATTATTTATTTTCACTATCCATAGTTTACCATTAAATAAGTAGGTCTGCTCAAATCATTTTCACCTGTACTAAGTGACTTTAGAGTGTGCCTGTGCCCAGTAGTCATCTTTTGAATCTCAGTCTCTCTGTCTCTCTCTCCTCTGAACACACGAATATGCTGATTATTAGTTTGAACTTGAATCAGAGCAGGCTGACCCAGATTGAGGGAGATGACACCACCACTCCCAGCAAAACTTCCTGGAGTGAGTCCGTCTGCATCTCTGACCCAGACAGAGCTTCCCGAGGCATGAAAATGATGGTCATCGTTTAGTACTCACATGTAATTTTAATATGATTATTTTTGCTGTAATGAAAATATACAAACATTTCTGGGATTAAAAGTTCATGTACTAGGAAAAGAAAATACAAAGCCGTTAAACCTATCTGTATGCCTCCTTAGGCTAGAAGAAATTTAAGATTTCTAAGTACCTATGTATATTTACTTGTTGGGTTTTGTATCAAAGTATCACGTCTAGACATTCTGAGCATAATAAATTTGAATGTAATAACCATAGTTTTTATTTTGTTGTAAATGCAGTAATGCTGACATGTCTAATAACTCACTGAAAAATCAGATGTTAAATTGTAGCAGATCTCCTGGTTGTAACATGAATCCACCCATAGCATGATGGATAGTCTGTGGACGTGATCTTGTGTGTTAATAGCAGCATGCTGCCTGTAACCGGGGGAGGGGGTAAGCCCGCTTCATCGTGCACTCCTCAGACCACACGTGAGCACTCGGGTCACTTCTCCGTTCCTCACTTTAATAACCAGGATCTAGAAAACTGGAATGAATTCAGAGATGGGGGAGTAAAAAGCCATATCAAATGAGGAATGATCAAAGGTTCTTTGATTATATTTAGTATGTATTTAGTAATATATGCAGAGGACACATGGAGATAGCCTAGCTATTAATAAATATTTGAATAGTTACTGTAATTTGAACTTATTCTTTATAGCTTTTCTGGGTAAAATTGGTCCCAAGGAGTCAAATTTCTGTTCACGGTGGAGGAGAATTTCTAACAAATGGAATGGGTTGTGTTGAGAAAAGTAGATTCTTTGGTAATTGGTATATTCAGTCCCAGTCTGGATGATCACGTGATGGGCTGTGATAGAAGGAAGACAAGGATCCCATGGGTGTGTGCACTAGATAGGCTACAAAACCCCTTTCAAACGTGAGAATCACTGAAACATTAGAGAAGAAGTGAGCATATGGCACAAAGTACGATTTAACCGTGTTCAGAATACTCTCTTTTAAATTCCTATCTCAGAACGTCTTTCATAATGTCTCATTCAACTCCTGACCTGTTGTTATTCCTTAAGAGCCGTACATTCAAAATTGTGCTAGATTCCGACGCAGCGGAATATGGAGGACACCAGAGATTGGACCACAATACCGATTTCTTTTCTGAGCCTTATGAGCATAATGAGCGTCCCTCTTCTCTTTTGGTAAGTAAGGTTTTTAACATATTTTCATTGCATTTTAATTTAATCCTTTACTTTGAAAGTGATGTTTTTGTGCAAAGAAAAACTCTCCAACAAGTAAGCAACATGTGAAAACCACAGCGGGTAGAGAAGGAACAGGGATGGAGAACTGCCCTGAAAAAAACCAGACGCATGCCGTGTGCGGTGCTGGACCGAAGTGGATTTGGGGAACCTAATTGGGAAAACTAATTGGGGAAGTTTGAACATTGATAGGATTAAAAATTATTTTTCAAAAAGTAAGAGGAAAGCAGTTTTTTTCCTGTTATGAACATTTCTACTTTTTACTCAACAATTCATGTTCCTTCTGTTTTTGCTTTCTGTATTTTACATTAGGCAGATTTCTACATTATGTTGAATGTCTAATGAAGTTCAATTTAAAACACCTTAAAAGGAACAATAGAAATATTTTTTTTTCTTGTAGTCAATCGAAGACTGAGTTTATTCTAGTTAGAAAATTCCCTGGTTTCTTCATATTACTGAGGAAAGCATTAAGTTACACAACTAATTTTTACTTTGTGTTCTTAACACAAATGAAAGAATATTGCTTTAAACTACTGGGTTTAAAGTCTTTTAAAAATGTAGAATTTAGAAACTCTTCAGATTGGGAGGAATTGTTCATTTACCTTATGGCCAGATAATAAGCTCAATCCCACATCTACGTTAGGTGTATTTTTTTCTTTTCCTGGTTAGTCATATGCCCCTCTCTCTCTCTTTCTCTCTCTTCTTCTATTTCTCTGTCTCAGATCTGCGTTCTTTTCCCCCATGGGAGATCTTGGATTAAGATTTGCTTCACTTGTATGAGTCCAGGATGTATCTAACAAATGTATACATAGCTTTGTCATAGCTGTTAAATTCTCTCATTTTTAAAATATTTAGGTATAAGTCAACGAGGAGAATTTGTATGGGACCCCTGGTTCCTCATTTTCCTACTATGTTCTCCCCTCTTAAAGTGGTGCCAGCACGTCACTTTGTAAACCACCATATTATATACAGAATCAATGTGCCAAAGACAGTGGCATAAGTGGCATCTTCTCACAACTGTGGGAAGGATAATCTTAGGCAAGGGCTCACAATCTTTAGGGGTGGGCATAAGATAAATGAAAAGAGCAGAGATGAGCAAGATTGAGTTGTTGATTGTAGACTTTGAGGCAAATGCAATGGCCACAGGAGACTTAGGTATTACCCTAGTGTATGTGTGTGCCAATGGGTGGTGTTGGTGGTGATATTGACAGAGCTTTAGATGTAGATACAGTTACATATGTGTTTTTAAGAGAGAGGGCTCAAAGGTGTTATCAGATTCTTTCTTCAAAGAACAATTGCTATAGTATGTCAGAACATTCAGTCTTGCCATGTAAAATAAGACTGATAAAAATAGTTTCTGAAATGAATAAGAAAATTATTCTAAAGCTCTGAAATAACCAAAAGAGTTAGTGACTCCTGAGGGGTTAGCGAAGATGATTCAGCTGGCAAAGAGGAGTCATGGAGACCAGCAACTGATTGCGGTAAAGCTGAACTTGAACCAATTAAACCAGACCCAAAGGACTTTGAAAGATCCAGACAGCAAAATTCTTATGTAGCCAACTTTCCTAAAGGTTCCTATATCCAAAGAGGGTAGTGTTAGGGAAAGAGGCCTGGTGGGATCCGAAAGGCCAGAGTGTCATGGCTGGGAACTTGGGATCAAGCCCTTGGTCTGCCATTTACTAGCTATGAGAACTTGAGTAATTTACCTTTTTGTGCCTCAGTTTCCCTCCTCTGTATAATGAGGATTAGTAATAATATCCTTCCTATAGCAAGAGACTCTTAGGAGGTATAAATTCCTTAACGCAGCCAAGCTTTTTGGAAACTGAAAAGTGCTATTGCACAAGGTATTTTAAAGTTATTATTGTGATAGCTATTTGAGAATTTTTTAGGTATTTTAAGTACATCAAAACACTAGATGCTTTGAGGACACAGGATTAAGAAGACCTCACAAGTGTGGGAATGATAATCTTAGGCGAGGGCTCACAATCTTTAGGGGTGGGCAAAAAATTTCTTGGCATCTCTTCAATTCTGTAAGAGCAAAGATATTCTGTCATAATTAAACCAGCCAACCAGCCAGTGGCAGCAACAGTCAAGAGATTACTTTTCCAAACACTAATTGACTTGATCTTGCAAATATGGAATATGCAGTTTTAAATTAGCAGGTGGAGTGGAGAATATAACATGTCTCAATAACATGTGGAAGAATACAGCACTGCAAGCACATGAGAAATAGAGTAGAGCTTAACCCCTGCCGGTAATAGAATTCTGATCCGACTTGGCCAGAAAGGTAAAGATGGACCCTGCAACATCCTGTTTTCCATGACTACAGGTGCTTCAGGAATTAGTCACTTAAATAAGTCTTTAGGCTCCAGAGAAAATGATCACTGGTCTAATCTAAGAATAAAGGAGCCCAAATAGACCAGAAAATCCAATAAAACAGGTTCCTTCTTGCCAGAGTTATCTTTCGAAGAGCCAGAGAAAAAATTACATTAAAAGACGTACCTATTATAATAATACTTGATTATAATGGAACTCTTTGTAAGCTGATTCCTATGTGCTAGGATCCAGTCAGGTTTCTTGAACATGGCCGTGTGTGCTGTAGGCCTCACGTTCCACCACCAATAAGAGATCATTTCTGCCTCCCAAGTGCCTAGAGTAAAAGGGAAAGGGGAGGACAAAAATATAACATTTTCCTTTTCCATGAAACTTCTGACCATCATAACTGGTACACTGTATTCACTAAAGCTTAATTTGCAAGCTCAATAATCCAAAGGATCTGCTGAATAAGTGTCAAATCTGTTTTCAAAGATAGCAACCAACAGAGCTCGAAGGAATCTTAAAATAGCCATCCGTGCTGCAGCATCAGCAGGGCCCACTCCGGCGTGGTCTGTCTTTGCTCCATCAGTGGGAACTGTGAAGGCACAGGAGAGCTGCACGGGTACTAGCATTCAAACGTATTTGCTGAGGCCCGAGTCTCGCACAAATGCCAAGAAGCCACGGGGCAGAGCTCCGTTTTGCTCTCCTGGCAGTTATTGCAAACTCCAGTTTCGCATGGTCATTTCTCTGTACTTTGGTTCCTGATATAGGAACTTCTGTGTTACCCCAAATGTTGATGAGTGCACCGGAGGCAGGGCAGGGCACTTGCTTTCTCTTCTCTGATTTATAAACTCAAATTCCATCCCACAAATTGAACAGAGATTATTGAACCTGAAGCGAATTAGACTCCTTTATAGTTACTCAAGCCGTCTCAATGGTGAAAATTTGAATAAAGCAATAGTTTTAGCATTTCTTACTCTGCCAGTTAGGCTCCTTATCATTAAGCAGTAGATCTGTTTATTCTCCTTCTAAATTTGGGGGTTCAAAAGTAGACTTTGGTTTAAATAGGAGATTTGGCATAGATGTACTTTTTTATTTCCCTCAGTTGTAAGTATTTGAAAATAGTACTTAACAGTTGGGAAATATCTTTTGCTGTATCCAAAGTTTGGAAAATATTTAGTTTTTTTGGACCAAGAAAATCAATCTTGATTCTTACAGTTTTCTCCTTTTAATATTTCTAAGTTAGATAAGAAAATATACATCTCTATATAGAAATATTTATCAGCATCACTTTTCTCTTAACCTAATATAAAATAATGAATTAAGAAAGATTTCTTTTTTCTTAAAGAGTATTTTATGAACTAAAGTATGTTTGCAAAAATTAACATTATTTTATATGTCACCCTTGGTTTTCAAAGTAATTAGTAATTTTTTATGACAAATGTGTGTATGTAGACTGTTAAGAGTCTAATATCCTTTTCATCAAATGATGTCATCACTCTTCAATTATGTTCTATGGCTAAATTTAACAATTTCTAAGAAAATTTAAAAATCAGCCTTTAATGTATTTTTTAAAATTATTTTAAAATTTTCTGTTTTCAAAAATTATGTAATTAATTTTTGCAACCCAGTTATGATCCTAGGAGAACACAGTACTTTGCCTGGATGATGTAATATAGTAGATTATTGTGGGATCAGTTATTGTATTAGCTGTCTTAGTGGGTGGCATGGTGACTAAGTCATTAAGGTAGTCAAAATAATTGGGTAGATTAGCATGCATTTTGACTCTCTTAATGAATGAATTGGATTATACTGTGGCATTCTGATTCCTTTTGAAGAGTTCACTATAAATATAGCTAGAAAAAATGAAATTCATGGCATACATTACATTATCTCATATGTTGTTAATGTGATCCTAGCTACAAAATGTTTAGGGCTTAATGGCTATAAGTGGGCCCGTAGCTATAAATATCTTTATCAGCACATGTTATCCGACATCTGTACTACTCGGTTTCCATATACATGTACTTAAATATAAATTGTTTATATTTAAATATACTTAAATGTTTATGTTTCGATCTACTTAAATTATGTTCATATTTTTTTCTTGCTGCATGAATCAAAACTATTTTTAGAATTAAAATTATAAAATGAGAGTTACAGAGCCAATACTTAGTACTAAATTACAGAGCCCCCAAATTGTTCATGTGTGTAATTGTCTCATCATAAAGATTAGTTCTGATTATCTTAAGTCCTTTAGTATAATTGGTAGTCATTTCCCAACCACCAAGAAAATTGATTTACATACTCAGAACCCTAATAAAGAAGAAAACTGAAAATTCCATAAACAGCCATAGTTAAGAAACATCACTTGCTTGGGGAAATTCTCTCATATTGCCTATACTGCAAGGGCTCTAGAGCAACATAACACATTCTGGTAATTAACACTGCAGTGAAAAACTATAATTACACAATATTCCCGTTAATGATATTAGACAATTATCAACTGAAGGTTTTTAAATAGATAGTATTCAGAGGTCTCTAAGTGTGACTGGAATTGGTGTCATAAAGCTCCTTACATAAAATGACCAGCATCTTTTAGCAAGAGTTCTTGGAGCATTTTTTAATCATTAAACGCCAAAATAGGAAGTTCAATGCATATATTGCAAACCTCAAACTTCTTATGTCATCCCTTTTGTTTTACTCTTAAATTTGGGCTAGCTAAAATACTAAAAGATAACAGAGAATGTTTATAAATTATCAGTTATAGTTATCAATTATATTTCATTCATGAAATCAGTATAAGGTTATGAAGTAAACAGAGTAGATGCCAAAACTGCATAGGATCCAAACCAGAGATTGGCGTACTTGTCCTGATGGATCACTGCCACACGCTGAGCGGGGACCTACCCTCGTTTGTCCTAGGTCTGACTCCTGTGTTTCATCGCATTGTTCTCAGGAGGCTTGGGCTTTTCAGAATCCTTTTATCTGCGTATAGAACCATATAATATCATAGAAATGTTTTTAATATAAAGGGACCTGAAATTCTTTTGTCCCGTTTCTGGTGCTACTGAGAAATTTAGATTGAGTTTTGGGATGCTCATAACAGAACAATTCAGAAACATTTTGATTATAACCTGCCATGTTACTGATTAGTTACACCTAGTTACTGTGGTTCCCCAAACTAAATACACAGAATAAAATAAGCACCTGGCAAACTCCTTTAGAAGGGCAGGACACTGGCTTCATTCATGCCTGTTTTCATAAGACTTGGAGATAGAATTGGTTGAATCTGACCGTTGTTTCTTTTATTTTTCCTCCTTTGCTTTGGTCTGTGTTGACTATGGAAATATGCCATCCTTTGGACTAGATCTGGCTGGGTCGTTGGTAATGGTCCTACTTTGTTCATGGGTACCTCCAGCTTCCTTTTGCTGAACCAATTTCATAACCATCTCACCTCTCACAATCAGAACATATTGAATGGAACGGATTGCATTAGCAATTAAATACTGATGTGGTTTAAAAGCTATGAGACATTTAAAAGAGTGTGTAAATTATAGGGAAACAGATTGTGACTTTGAAATACATGGTTTCCCCACGCTTAATGACTGCAAGGATATAATGTTTATCATTGGAAGTACTGGATTGCAAGTCAGACTGTGAGACATTGAGCCATGCAGTGACTGTTAACATTTGTGAGATCTTTCTCAAATATTGATGGTCATTTCCTAAATCACTGTTACTTTTAAAGATTAGCAACACTGTTCTCTAGTTATTACATTCATAATATAAATTTCTCAAAATGCCATCCTTTTAAAACTGCTTTAATCTTTAATGTTCAAAACTAACCAACTGTATTGGTATATCTGATTTTTTTTTAAGAGTTGTAAGAGTTCTTTATGACAGAAACCTTAAGAAAAAACATAGTGTTCATGTGCTGGGTTGAGATGCACTGGACATACAAAAGTCTCATTCAATGAAAATCAGCTGTTCTGTTCTTTTATTTATTTTTTTCCTAAAGCCGTGTTTTCTTTGCATCTTTCATTATGGTCCTAAACTTATATAAAAGCCTTTTCCTTTAACCATCAGTCAATCATTTACTTAAAGTGACTAAAAATAGTAAAATATTCGCAAAGTCAGAAATGGAGAGATACTTTCACAATGATGACAGCAATCTGTAATGTTTTTACGATTTGCTTTGTTGATAATTAAATATCTTATGTGTAATTAAATATCTTATGTAAATATCTTATGTGTAATTATTTAGCACATAGAGAAGCATCAAGCAGTTAAATCACTTCTCAATTGTATAAAAATTATTTCAGATGTAAGTATATAAAAGGATATTTTGTGAAATATGCACATATTGATCCCACTATTACTGATTCCTGTATTCATTCTTTATTCAGCCATGATTGCACCTACTTTGTCCATTGGCACCTACTAAGAGTTAGAAATGTGAAGATACATGGCCTCTGCCTTTGTAAAGCTCATAGTCTAGTGGGGAGAACATAATAAACTTGAAAAAAATCACAAATTAGATTAAGTGTTCAGAAAGAAACAAAAATGGTGCTATGACAGAAAATGAAATGGAGAAACTGTCATCTCTAGCGTTGTCAAGGAACACCTCTCCATCAAGCTGGGATTTTTCAACATTCAAGCGATAAGGAACTAGCAAAGTAGAGAGTGTTCCAAACAGAGGGCACAGCCTGGGCAAGACCCAGAGGAAGGGAAGGGTGTGACGTATTGAAGGAACTGAAAGGCCCCTGGGGCTGGAGCTTGGCGAGTGAGGGGAGAAGAGACAAATGATGTGCTTAGCTGGGATGAGAGGTGCACTTAAGCGAGAAGGAGCTAGGTCAGCACTCTGCGGGGTGTGGAAAGGATGTGTATTGTATTTTAAGTGCCATGGCAAGCTTTTTGATTCGTTTAAGTTAGGGAGGGGCCTAAAATACACTTAGGATCCCTCATATTACGTTTAACTTTTTGTTCTTAAAATGACAGGAGAAAACAAAAAAACAGGATGGCAAATGTCTTGACGTAAAGCAGTGTTTTGTGTGTTACTTTTACTCACCTGAATAGAATAACATTGTGACCTGTCAGGCAGCCTTTACCACCTCATGATACCGAAACAGCAGTCAGTGCCATTTATGTCCCTAGTGTCTGAGGAACGTTGGCTTTTGTAAAGCGTATGGAGCCCTCTAGTGGTGATTGTTTTAAAGGAGTCTCACAGTGAGGCCAGAACTGTTGGAACATGGAACTAGTCTCCCCAGAGCCGGGAGAGTTATAAAGATAACTGCAACTTTAAGCAAACGTGACACTGCGTCATGTCCCTTTGCCACAGTGACACTGCGCTCAGTATTTCTTTCAGTTGCACTGACATGCTTGTGTTGACGTAGGTGTACATTCCAAGCCGAGTGGCCCTCATTCTTCAGAACGTGGATCCGCCCAACTGAAGAGACCTGGCTTCAGCTCCACTGGAGGAAGACTGTGCCTTGCTCCCCGTCCTCAATGTCGCAGAGCTTATGATGTGTACGCTTCTCAAAATACGGTTGTCTAGCCAAAATGTCAGATGTCTGAAATTCAGTATTGCTCTATGCAAATGATGGTCAAACTTTAAGAAGTGGGCGGAGGATATTTTTGAAATTTCAGGGACCCTGGACTATATTTTCCAAGCATCTGAGCAGTTAGGATCCTCAAACAAAGCATTATACATAATGTCTTTAAACAACATTGCTCTCCTGGCTTTAAGTTCAAATTTGAATTGTGTCGTGTATGGTTATTTCTGTTGAATGTAGACAGTATTTTTTAAGGTGGATATTTGGTGGCTTTATTTGTTCTAATATCTCTTGGTCTGAATTACAAAGTACCAAGATTGTTACTGTGTTTTAAAAAATTGTGTTTAGGAATACTGTAATAAATAGTAATATAAGAATAAGAGTTGTATCAAAGGTAGCATAAAAGTTATTATCGATGAACTCCTCTATGCCTCATTTTGCATAAGTTTCATCATGTGATCTCTTGTTCACTTAGTATCTTGGTAGATGCTGATATCTCAGTCTATCCAAAGGCCTGAATTGGTAATTTTAACATTTCAGAAAATGTCTTTTACTTAGAATCAATAAAAAAAAATTTGCAAATTGCCTTTGCTACAAATGGCTATTTTGCTGTACTATTATGGGGATTGATTTACAATGAATATTAAAATGCCTTATCACAATTCTGATACTTTCCCCACGTATATGCATATGTGCACAAGGACGAGGAGGCATGGCGATTAATAATATATTTTCTTTTAGGTTCCATTTTGTAACTTGAAGTTATGCTAACCCACTCAGATATCTAAGCTACTCTCCAGCTATAAATCTGAGCACTTTTAAAAGCTGAATTAACTGTCTCAACTCAGTGGGCTACTCAGTCATGAAATTGCTGCTCGGTTTATTAAATACTTTGCCACAGGTCTAAAATCACTGATGCGTAATTCATTCATAACAGAGAAATTATGATGCATTTATAAAACATAATGTATCTGTCACTTTTTTTAAAGATCTAATTTTTTCTTTTACATTAATACTGTTTTTTTGTTTGTTTTTAGCCTGGTTTTTCATGATGAGTAAGAAGCACTTGGAAGCCTTTCTGTTAAAAACTCATTCAATCATGAAAGAGATTAGCAAAATAGACTTACTTTTATAGCTAAACCTATATATTGACTACCTGCCTTATAACTTTTTTTGGGGAAAGCCTTGAATCTAGGTCTTGAAATGTATTTGCTTTCACTTCAAGGTAGAGTAATAGTTTGAATAATTAGTATCGTCCCTCTGCCGTGATCCATGGGCTGTACCTGCTATCGATAAAACACAGTGCGCAACCGTGATGTTTCATGTCCTGGTTTATAATTCCTTGTCTATGCCTTTCTTATGTATGAAGATTTGTGCTATTTTTCTGTTGAAGTTCTTTAAAAATGACAAGAAATTACTTCGCACCCAGAACCCATTGCCTTTCCATTGTGACCTCTGTGGCAAAGTCAAAAAGACCAGAGTAATTCTATGCTGTGTTTTCCTTATACTGATGGGTCTCACTAATGTGTTCCTTAGATTTCACAGTCTAAAGCTTGAGCTGAACAGTGTAATGTAAGTTGATTGCCCTTGTCCAGTGTTTTTCCCCCTAAGAAGAGCAATAAATGTATGTTGCTAGGTAAGAGTTATAAAAATACATGCAAACAAATAAAATATTGAGTCCAAAATAGAACATGGTGGTTGTTTTTTTCCTGTCATAGCACATATAACCTTTATAGAGCATTCTAACGTAGTATATTTCACTTTAAATCTTCATTTTTGAATCAGTAACATTTTCAACATTGTAGGGGAGGAAGACATTTCCTCTACCCACTGTGAGTTCTTCTGGCCAGAGAACAAATTAAATTCACAGGAGACAGAATAACAGGAGAAAATTAAACAAAGCTTTATAACATGTATACATGGGAGAGGCTCAGGCAAGCTGAGCAACTCACCAAAATGGCTGAAGCCCCCACTTAAATATCATCTTCAGCTAACGACAAAGGAGGATCTTGGGGGTGGAGGGGGAGTCGATCATGGGAGATTACCACACAAGTACAGTAAACAAATGCAGATTTAAGTCCTTGCCTTTGGCATTGATAAGAGTTTCTAGAGATAGAGTCATCCCCCCTTCTTCCTGGTACAGAGAGGGAGACACCTTTACAGATGGAGATTTCCTTTACAATGTAAATGTCTCTTAACAAAGGGTAAGTAAATTCTACTCCTCAGAGCCTCCTTTCCTGTCTGCAGTTTATTAAAAGTAACCAGCCCCAAATAATCCTCATGCCAAAGTGATATATCTTGGGGTGGCCAATTCCAGTCCCCTACAACATCATGTAATCTGGTGAGAAGTTTTTTTTATTAGCTAAACGTTTTCCATAATCCACAGAGAGGTGCAAAATTTTTCTCTGTACCTTGTAATAATGTTTTTTCTCTGATGTTTTTATTACCAACATCAAAAATGAGAGTGATCTATCTTTGTTGACTTTTTTAGAATAAGTATTTTTGCTGTTCTAATTTTTTATGTTCTAGAAAACATAGGTGACTATAAACTTCTCTCCATCATTTCTAATATTAGTCTGTGAGTCCTAGTAATTGCTCTATTATCCAAAATAGAATTTACCCCTAGTGTTATGATGCTTAATGCTTTAGTTTACTATAAACTTACTCAGAAAATGCCATAGTTTTTAATAGTCAAAAATTGAACTGTAAACATTCTTCCTTGAATGTTTCTTACTTTATAGCCCTTGCACTCTGAGGGTCAACTCCTTTCGTTTTTTCTTTGCTGTATGTTCGATGTTTCTCCCTTGGCCCTGCCTGAGCTGGCATATTCATCTCTGACATAAAACCGGGGATTCAGCCACTGTGCTCTTCAAGTTCAAAAAATAACCAGTAACAATAAACTGACTTTTCCCGTGGCCACTGCCAAAGAATGCACATATTATTCCCTCTGACTCGAGCGCTCCCCTTAGCAATATCAGTTCAGCATTTGTCACCCATCAGGGTTATAGCCATTGCTATGCGGGATCATACAGGAGGTTGTCTGAATAAGGAGCCTGTTTTTCAAATAATGTAGTAGAGAGGGCAGGCAGATGAGGGGAAGTGATGAAGGCTAATGTGTTTTCCTCTCTTGTTCCGCTTGCAGCTTCAGGGCAAATATCTTTGCACTGTCTGGTCCTGCAGCTGTTGGATCTGGTGATGAAAGCAGTGTCAGATAGGTTTCTTATTGCTCTTGCTATCTAGAATGAGCCGGAGCAGACATACCTGATCGAAACCAAACAGTGAAGCACCTTCCTGGCTGAACTTGCACCGCTCGGGCTATTTCTTTTCACCCATTTTGAGTCATGTCCTGAACTAGGGTTCTTGGGAGTGGTGGATTTCATTAATCTGTATATTCCTCATAGCAAGACAAGCTCTGAGCTATGAACTTTGCTAGGTAGACCATTTGATGAAAGAACATAGAAATCTAAGCCATAGCAATGTCATGTCCTTTATGCGGCAGAGTTCATTTATCATTCACAATGTGTTAGAACTGAAATGTAGATAAATTTTCCCACTCAAGCCAGCCTTCAGGGGAAAAAAATCAAATGAACTCCCTACTAATTTTTCTCCTCTATTATCTTATTAATGGTGATTTGTAGAGAATTGCAGAGAAACATTCACACTTTAGGGCAGAATTTCTTAATTGGCAGTGTGAGGAATTAAGATACAGTAGCTTACAAGTTTTTGTCTCTATATTTAAAACGTTGCATCTAGATTTTAACTGTTGGCAAAAGCTCTGCAGAAAATAATTTATTTACATGAAAAAATGGATTTTGTGATAGATAGGCTTATGCTAAAGGGCCTATCTTTCGGAAGTTTACTTATGACTGACAGTTTTCCTGTCATTTCTGCTGGGCCAGAGGCAGCTCATCGGCCCTCATGCACGCTGTGTAAATAGACCATTTTATCCAGAAGCCGCTCTGTGTTTTAACAGAACACTGTGACATAGTGGTCGGAAGACCTGAGTTCATGTGTCAGCTCTTTACTCCCGGGGCCTCATTTTGGATAGCACTCAGTGACCCTTCGTTCTTATCCAGGGTCACAAGACAAAGTGAAAGGGAAAAAAAGCATCGTTGTTGGTTTTACAAATGCTGTTGTTTGAGCAATAGCTACATGGATGATGAGTCAGTGTTTGGCAACATCGTCCAAGTTTGTTGTCAGGAACACACTATCACCACCACCTGTTTGTCCTTCAAGGCTTCTGTGGGAACTTCTCCCCGCTCTCCCAGGCAGGGGCTGTGGGCTGCTTTAACAGGGAGGGGATTGTGCATTTTCTCCACCATCACAGATGACCAAAACATCAGTCCTCCTCCGCTGGTAATTTAATTTGCCTATTTTAGCTTTTCCTCTGAGTGCACCAGAACGTCCCAGTGAATTCCATTCCCCTGCAATCAGTATGCTGCCACCTTAGTGTGCCGGCTCCTCTCAGACTTTGCACCTGTATGACCCAGCCTCGTGTGTGTGCATGAAAGTGAACGACCTCTTCATGGCAGCCATAGGGCACTGCAAGTGTTTAGGAAGTGAAATAGCCACAGGTGCCCTCCAGTGAGGCGCAGCCACCCGCTGTTGAGGGTCTCTGTTTCTTTCCCTCTTCTCCTTCCTCACAGCCCAGTATACACTACTAGCAGAGGGAATAAATGACAGAGGAAACTGAAGAATTGCAAAAGAGAGCTGTTAGAAAGAGTTTGGCCCTTCGTTTTTTGGAGTGAAAGTCGTTTCTGTCATCAGAAACACATATTTTCATCAAGTAAATATTTGTACAAAGTGTGAATGTCTTGAAGAAGTGGGAAGAGAGATCAATCATTGATCTGCGATATCCACAGTTGTCTGGTACTTACCATAAGACAATGCAAAGCAGA